CAGGCAATCCACTCACCTCAGCCTCCCAAGGCGCAGGATTACAGGCTGAGCCACTGAGCTTGGCTAAAAAATGTTTTTAAAATACACATTATTTTCGTTAAACTTTAAAAGGTTTTTGTTTTGTTTTGTTTTGTTTTGAGTTGGAGTCTCACCCTGTTGCCCAGGCTGGAGGGTGGTGGCACACTCATGGCCACCCCAGTGTCAGCCTACTAGGCACTGGTGATCCTTCCACCTCAGCCTTCCAAGTAGCTGGAACTACAATTGTGCATTACCACACCCAGATAATTTTTTACTTATTGTAGAGACAAGGTCTCGCCAAGTTGCCTGGGCTGGTCTCGAACCCGTGGGCTCAGACAATCCACTTGCCTTGGCCTCCCAAAGTGCTAGGATTACAAACTGAGCCACCAAGCCCAGCCTTTTTTTTTTTTGAGTTGGAGTCTCACTCTGTCGCCCAGACTGGAGTGCAATGGCTGCTCCTGGCCAACGCAGCCTCAACCTGCTGGGCTCCGGCGATCCTTCCGCCTCAGTTTTCCAAGTAGCTGGAAATATAGGCACGCGCTACCATGCCCAGTTAACTTCTGATTTATTGTAGAGATGAGGTCTCGTCAAGTTGCCCAGGCGGGTCTCGAACCCACGGGCTCAGGCAATCCACTCACCTCAGCCTCCCAAAGGCACGGGATTATAGGCTGAGCCACAGAGCCCGGCTAACCTTTTTTTTTTTTGAGTTGGAGTCTCACTCTGTCACCCAGGCTGGAGTGCAAAGAGTCGACATGGTAAAACCTGTGGGAGACAGTGAAAACAGCAATGTTTTGAACTCTGCTTAGATTTAACCCAATATTACAAAACGAAGAAAACAAGGCTGAAAAGTTAGTTTTCCAACATAAAAACATATAAAAAAGAATAGTAGAATAAGCCAAAAGACAACAGGAAGAAAGCTATAATATAAATAACAACAGGTATCAATAAAATTGAATATAAAAGTGTAATATAGAGGATGAACAGTGCTAGATTTGGTTCTAAATAAACTTCTTGTGAGATTGTCTAAAAACAAAAGAGAAAGAGTTTATAGCTAGAGACAGGAAGAAAACACAAAACAAATAATACACTGGGTAATATGAGGGTCATGCTAAAAATATAAAGCCAAGATTAAAATATAAGACATCATCACAATTTTATGCAAACATTTAACATTTAAGCAA